CTCGCTCGACCCTTTTGCCGCGAGAGGGCGCCGGCCGCGTGTAAGAGGTGGCTGGCGCCCTGAGGCGGCAATTGGTGGCGTGGGGAGTGCGGAGAACGCTACTGGCGGCGTGACAGGGCCTCTCTCGGTTGCGTGTGCCGCCCATCGGCACGCGGGTGCGCAGACATCGCGACTCTGCCCGCTCGCTCGACCCTTTTGCCGCGAGAGGGCGCCGGCCGCGCGTAAGAAGTGGCTGGCGGCCTGGCGCCCTGAGGCGGCATTTGGTGGGGTCAGCGTGCGGTGCTGAGTCTTACTCGTCGGCGCTGGGGCCAGATCCCAGCGCAGAACTCTGCAACGCTGGCATACAAACACAAGAAGACTAACCCTAACCCTAACCCTAACCCTAACCCTAACCCTAACCCTAACCCTAGGTCAGCGTGTGGGGCTGAGTCTTAGTCGTCGGCGCTGTGGGGCCAGATACCAGCGCAGAACCCTGCAACGCTGGCATATACAGACACAACCAGACTAACCCTGACCCTAACCCTAACCCTAACCCTAACCCTAACCCTCTAACCCTAATAACCCTAACCTAACCCACCCCCCAACTCCACACCGCAAATTTGAAAGATCTTGATGAAAATCAGGCCCGACTGCAAATTTCTTCAAAATTTTCGCAGGCGCTCCGCGCCTGCAGATTTTGAAATAAATTCGACAAAATTGGTACCTGGCCCAACAAACCGGGCGCTAGGAGAGGTGAACTGAAGGCTGAGACAAAACGGAGGCTGAGCCTGAGTGGGGGCGCCCGCGCGCCCCCACGCAAGCAAGCCTCTGTCCTTCGCGCTTCGGCCCATTCACTGCATGGACTTTGGGGGCGGGGTTGGTTGGGGAGAACCGGCACGGGGAAAGCCGGCCCAGTAGGGCGCCGCGCCCCAGCGTAGAGGGCGTCGTGTAGCCCACCTTTTGGTCTAAAGGCGTAGGCGTAACACAGGGGATCCCGGTGCACGGGATCGAGAGGGCAAGGCCGGAGTCTCACGTGCATGGTGCCCCACGTGCCCATGGTGGCGGTGCTCGTTGCGTGGATCAGCGTCGGCAACACGCCGCTGCTCGATCTGAGCGCGCTGGCTCCCGACTTGCCGAAGGGCGTGCGCGTGCTGGGCAAGGCTGAATTTTCCAACCCGAGCGGCTCCGTCAAGGACCGGATTGTCGAGTACATCTTGGATGAGCAGGAGCGAATCGGCCGGCTCACGCGCTTCTCGGGGCCAGACCATCGTCGCCTCCTCGTCGGGCAACACGGCCACCTCGCTCGCCATGTTTTCTGCCCTGCGAGGCTACAGGTGCATCGCCATCACCAACCGCGGGACGAGCAAGGAGAAGGTGCAGCAGCTGTACGCGTACGGCGCGGAGGTTGTCGTCACGGCCTCCGGCGTGCCCACCGACTCGCCGGTGCACTACCAGAACGTGGAGAAGCAGCTGGTGGAGGAGAACCCAGGCTACTTTGGCCTCAACCAGTATGACAGCCCGCTCAACCCAGAAGCGTACTATGCGACGCTCGGGCCGGAGCTGTGGGCGCAGACCAACGGCAAGATCACGCACCTGGTGGCTGCCGGCTCCACCGGAGGCACGGTGAGCGGCACCGCGCGCTTCCTCAAGAAGAAGAACCAGGCGATTCAGGTAATCATGCCTGACCCGCATGGCTCCATATTTTATGATTGGTGGGCGCATCGGAAGCTGGTGAAGCCGACGTCGTTCGAGGTGGAGGGCGTGGGCAAGGACTCGATCCCGCAGGCGCTCGATCTCTCGCTCATCGACGTCATGCCGCGCTTTAGCGACGAGCAGGCCTTCGCCACGTGTCGCACCATCGCCCGCCGTATGGGCATGATGGTCGGTGGCAGCGCGGGCGGCAACGTGCACGCCGCCCTCACCTTGGCCCGCAAGCTCAAGGGCCCGGCGACGGTGGTGGCCATTCTTTGCGACTCGGGCACCAAGTACCTCTCCAAGATTTTCAACGATGAGTGGATGGCCTCCAAGGGCTATGACGTCGCGGCGATGGACGCGTCCGCCGCCAACATTCCGCACCATCCCAAACAAGTTTGGCCCCCCGTGGGAAGGGGAAGGGACACTGAGTTCAACTGACACCTCCGTGGCGGCGTGGAACAGCGCCGACACGCACCAGAACGGGCACGTGAACAACCTCACCTTTGTCCCCTGGAGCAAGATGGCCTTTATAAATGCAGCTGGCATCGCATCTCGCGGGGCGAACGGTCTGAAGAACCAGTCAGGAGTGAACGCCGTGGCGGAGAGCCAGAAGAAGGGGCTGAGCGGTGATCGCACGCGCCGCCAGGACGACTGAGGCTCGTCGTCTATGAAGTACCGTCTGTTGGCAGTGCAGCGTCCAGGCACTGAACGTGCGGCCGAGTGCTAGGGTTCGCGAAAACGGTGCAGCAATCAGTTCGAGCGGTTCAAAGGCACCGCCGACATCGACGGCGCGCAGTTCTTGTTGAACTCGCGCTTCACGGAAATGATCTACACTAGAAGGCCGTGCGTGGAGATTGCCACTGCTGCGATGCGCTGGGTGCACTTGTGATGTCATTCGCATCTCATCCAAAACGCTCACCAGCGAACGCCTCGCACGAAACCCTGTGATACAACTTCTCCACCAGAAGTGTGTGGTGGTGCCTCCCGCCCAGCGTCTCTCTGCACCCGTCAAGAGCCTCGCGATACAGCTCCTCCGCCCCATCCAGGTCGCCCTTGGCGCGCAGCAGCCAGCCGAGGTTGGAGATCGAGACGAGCGTGCTCGGGTGCCTCCCGCCCAGCGTCTCTCTGCTTGCGTCAAGAGCCTCGCGACACAGCTCCTCCGCCCCGTCCAGGTCGCCCTTGTCGTGCAGCAGCGAGCTGAGGTTGTTGATCGAGACGAGCGTGTCCGGGTGCCTCCCGCCCAGCGTCTCTCTGCTTGCGTCAAGAGCCTCGCGATACAGCTCCTCCGCCCCGTCCAGGTCGCCCTTGTCGTGCAGCAGCCTGCCGAGGAGGTTGATCGAGGTGAGCGTGTCCGGGTGCCTCCCGCCCAGCGTCTCTCTGCGCGCGACAAGAGCCTCGCGATACAGCTCCTCCGCCCCGTCCAGGTCGCCCTTGTCCTGCAGCAGCCAGCCGAGGTTGGCGATCGAGGTGAGCGTGAGCGGGTGCCTCCCGCCCAGCGTCTCTCTGCACGCGTCAAGAGCCTCGCGAAGCAGCTCCTCCGCCCCGTCCAGGTCGCCCTTGTCCTGCAGCAGCCCGCCGAGGTTGGCGATCGAGGTGAGCGTGTGCGGGTGCCTCCCGCCCAGCGTCTCTCTGCACGCGTCAAGAGCCTCGCGATACAGCTCCTCCGCCCCGTCCAGGTCGCCCTTGGCGTGCAGCAGCCTGCCGAGGTTGGAGATCAGAGACGTGGTGCCCCTCTCCTCCTTCGGCACTTTAGCGAGAGCAGCGCGGCCCTCGTCGGCGAGCCAGCGCTGCAGGGAAGCGCAGACGGCGGTGTTGACTGCTGCAGGCCCGCCCGGCAGCGAGTCGATCTCCTTCCGAATGTAGTCTCGGTCCTCCGTCTTCGAGATTTGAGCGTCCCGCGCGTCGACGCCAGCGACGATGCCGGCGATGTCGCGGAAGCGGCCCGTGAGCAGCCCCTCGAACCCGGCTCGGTCAGAGTCGTTGAGGACGACGTGCAGGTCGCAGTCCTTCTGCAGGCACTTCCCCATCTCGAAGATGCACCACGCGCGCGTGATTGAGCCAGGGCCGCTGCGCGTCCACATCTCAGGCGGCTCTCCGCGCTCTGCGAAGAGGTACAGGTGCGGCGGCGCATCCCACTCCCCGGTGAGCGGAGACATGTAGAGGAGCAACTCCTTCACCGAGGCGAGCGCGTCCCCAAAGATGTTGTCCGTGTCCTCCTTGCGCGCGAGGTAGGCTGGGTGCGCACCTGCAGGCG